TTATTTGACGAAGAATTGTACAAAAATAGATAAATCGAATTGCAAGTTTGAATGGATCTTTGCATGCGATTTTATATGCGTTAATGAGTGTTGATTCACGATTGACTATGGTGTGAAATTATCATTGCACATTGATATAGTTTTGATTGATGCTGGGTTTCGTTGGTCGACGTTTAGTCGATATTCGTGCAATACTAGTCTACCCGATAATTGTTCCACGATGTAACTATTTACACTGTACTCGTAGAATTCACCATCTTTCGAGGTATTTAGCGTTCCACAGATTGTTAATAGGAAGAAGAAGATTCGATATTTTTCAACATTAAACATTATGTAAAGAAAGTTTCGTGGGGTTGATCGGCCGAAATTCGAGTGTAGTAATTACGACTCTTTAATAAAAAGTAATAATAAAAAAAGTTATTGATACATTCTATGTACCAGTTGTTTTATAATTATACAACAACGAATTTGAACCTTGTCATTTTTAATTTTTCGAGCTTTCGCAACATAAATTATTAGTTACAAAACTTGCAACTCGAAGTGGTGCCATTCGACTGCGGCGAATTTGTTACGATTCTTATCCTAGAAAATACAAGCTTGTATGGTTGTTCGAGAATTATTTCAACGTTACAAAAAAGGAAGAAAGATATCGAAAATCGTATGACGACGATGATTCCTCAATCGTACAGGGTGCTTCTAAAAATAATCTGTAAGCTGGCGTTATCGTTTCTTTGAAGTACAGAGAAGAAAGTATTCGATATATTTTTTAACAACGGAAGTGTGATTAACCAAAAACCTTTTTGGTTTATTCGAATTATAATTATTTATTATCTTATCCGCATAATGATTCCTCGAGAAATAACGCGATGATATCGAGAACTGCATAAAAATCATTTAAATTTGTTGAACCCGTGAATCAGTCATAGACTGTAAAGACGACAATGACGTCTCGAGATCGATAATCGGTTAATTAATCGAATCGCTCAATTGGTCAGTGATAGTGTTGGCAGCCGTAACCATTTTTTTGACAAAGAACAATACGATTAAAGAATCATACAATTATCGTGTTTAATCATTAACCGTAAAACAGTGATAAGCATGCATTATTGTCAATCAAGTTGATTTAACAGTATTTTTAATCATTCAATAATCTCTATTTTACACGATATGGAAATAAATTATCAGCTTGTGATAGATAACACGCGAAGAATTTGTATTTTTTTACAACACAACTACGAATTACAACTTTTACACGGATAGTACTATCGACACGCGAGGAACATTGTCAAGCTTGCCAGAACAATTTGCTTTCGTTTGCTTCATTAATCGATCTTAAAAATGAAAACGCTTTCTTTTAGTGTGAATTTGTTTTTGCTTCTGAAAATTGTAAATTTCGTCGATGTTATTTAGAGATAGAAAATTGTCAAGTCACGAAAGTATGCCGAATATTCTGAAAAGGTACCTGTTTATTGAAAAGGAAAATTAGAAAGAGCGTGGTTTGGAAGGAAAATGAAATGAAGATGTACTTTTTTAAAAATTATCGAATTTTTTATGTATTTATGTATAACTGGTATTATTTGATAGTGCCTTCCTAGAGGATTAGAAGAGAAAATTCTAGAAAGAAACTTGATATTACATTTATAAGTACTATATGCTCGTTAAAATGAATTTTTTAAACTTAATATAAATGTATTACGAATTTCTCTACTTCTATCTGTTCTTATTAAATAGTGCTAGTCAAAAGATCATATTATAGCTAGTCATTAAAATGTGCAATAAAACACAAACCAGCATTTAATTTCTGTATTGTAACATTGCTCAAAACAATTCGAGGATGTAAAGTAGTAAAATTATTTTATAAAAAATAATAAATAGAAGCTTAACATCTGATAAAAATTTTAATAAAATTTTTAATTCGCTGAAACTGTTGAAACGAATCGAAGAACTTTCTAAAATCTATTTTCATAAAAATAATTTTCTATCTTGAGATTAGATATAATTTATTAACGTTACATTTTATTATTGTTTAAAATTATTCTGAAATTGTTTTGGGCAGTGAATACGTTGTATGGACTGCCATAAGAATGAGAGGTTTATAATATAAACGATAGTACGATCCGTGGGATAATGTGAAAAATTCTTATGCCAAAATCCATACACTCTTATCTAAAAATATATCGTTATTTTATATTGTGCATTTATCATAAATATCTTGAAAACATCAGGCTTTATCTTATATTTTTCCAAATTTTCAGCACTGACCTAGTCAAATGAATTATACAACAGAATTCAGGCATTTCTTTTCTTACTTCGTCTTGTTATTGATTAAAATTAAAAATAGTTAAAAATATAATAAAAATAGGCCTTACTTAAAAATAGATAATAATGGAAATTCGATTTCCTTTTATTTTAGGTACATCTTTCTTGATCATTTTGTCTGATATTCAGTAATAAATAGTAATAAATATAGTTTTCGCCAAAAACTATATGATTAAAGAATTATCAATTAAAAAATTTCTTATTGAACTTCATTCTTAAATATATTGATTTTAATATAAATAAATAATATGTCAAATTTGCATTGTAAACACTCATAAAATGAATAGTTGCATATATTTTATGAACAATTGATTTTGTCATTCTATCAATCGGCAATTAAATATTCTGTCTCCATACAATAGTTTGTTCATAATATGCTTGCGCGAGCAATAATTATGCACGACTTACAATAATAACTATCGTAAATAATTTTCTCTTATAATAAGAAATCTTAAACACATCTGCACGAGATATACATTAACTTCTTCAAATGTAAATCTTGCATTGCATAATTGTGAAATTAGAAAAGAAAAACAGCGAGAATGAGAGATTTCGAATAATTTTTGCATTCGCATACTTTTTAATGCCGCACTATACTATATTACAAAATGATTGTAGTCCGTAATCCTTACCCCCTTTCTCCTCCCGATATTCGAGAATAATAATAATATTTATAGCAATTAAAGTATTTATAAATCGTTCACAAAAGCAAGTATGATAAAATAATAATGGAACGAAATAATTTGAATGTACATGTGTAATTATAGTGAAACCTTATCCAAGTGCTAAAGAAAGATGGATTAATGTTTGAATGAAAGAATACTTTATTTTTGTGCATTATTGTTATCTACGTCTAACGAGTGTTCTTTACTTCTTTATCGTTTATATTTCTCTACATTCAATGCAGTAAAATTACAAAATTTTACGATAATAATATACAATCATTGGTTGTTATGAGATGTTCTGAAGACGAGCAATTAAGTTTTCAAAAAGTGGAAAGTAACTTGCGAATAACATCTTATAAATCTTATAAAGTACAATACCTCGAAAAATCCGATAGCCATAATTTGAGCGAAATGTTTGTATAATAATAGAGAAATTCGAATGTTATGCCCGTTGCGAACCAACATTCTCTACCTTCGACGAATTAAAAAGTTAAATGCGTTCTATTTTATATACAATGCGTATGCATATATATTTATGTAATATACGCTGCGAGGGTTGTTTACATTTTTCTGGAATTTTATAATTTTCATATGAATAAAGAAATTTTGAGAATTGCAAATATTTCATATAATTTTATCAAGAAAAGTATCAGTATAAGAATCAGTATAAGAAGATATTGAATTTCTTAAATATTTATATTCCAGATATAAATACATAATACATAATACTTAATCGATGTTTATAGTAAGTTACAATTTATTTAAATTCCAATTCTTATATGTCTATTAATAATTTTAGAGTATTTTGTCTATTTTTACAAACTCTACGAAACATAATCATTAATTTATGATGAATAATCTTAAATAGTTAAACTTGAATATTTATTGCATAACTTTTGTACACTTATTGTAATAATTTCATTGCAAGATAAAACATTGTTTTAAAAATATTACGTAGTAAATATTACGTAGTAAAGTTGGGTTGATTGACATAAATTATACTGCAATTATTAAAATTACGGAAATCTGAAAAAATATGTCTATGGTAAAAAATCAAACAAAATCATCAATTAGGTATACAACAAATAATCATTTTTATAATAATTATAATTATAATGAAATTCCAACAACCCTCGGTTATGTAAATTACAATGTTTTTTTCATTCTTCTTTACTGTTATATTACAGCATGAAAAATGTTTGTAACGAATGAACATATATAACATATGTAAACATATCGCTGTTTTTTTACACTAACTTTACGTAATGTACCAATTGTGTAGCATTGTTAAAATTGTTATGAAGTATGCGTCGAACATGAAGAAATGAAATATAATTATTGAAATTACAATTTAATTTTTTTTAAATTGCGAATTAATTACTATATAATTTAAATTTTATAATTATATAATTTACATGGACAATCCACATAAATAGATACATTTAATATTTATTTACTTATTTTATATGTATTTTAATTGTTTTTTTTTATATTTTTATATTTTTAAGATTTCATTTAATTTAATTCTAAAATGATTATATACGAATATTGATAAACTTAAACACAAATACTACATCAACTTACATATTCGCAAAGAACAATATAAGAACACTAAACATCAAAGTACAACGTATATACAAATAAAATTTAAAAACTAAGATAAATAATTCTATTTTTCGTTAATTATTGAATATCACTTAAAAATGTAAAAAAATTCCATTTTGTATTTGATATTTACATAATATTTCATTATACAATTACAATTACATAACATTAACTTCTAAGTAAAAGAAAGTAACAGTTTTTGCCATTTTAAAAAAGACATTGTCAATTAATAATGGCTTTGTTTCAAGGTTTTGAAATCCTTTAAATAATAATATTTTAAAAATGAAAATGTTAATACAATCCAAAGATTTAAATCACAAAATCGAATCGGAGATTCGATTCGATATAAAAACATATTGAGCATTCCTTTGAACAATGTTGGTAACAAGTATCAGGGTGTAATGTACCGTCATGGCGACGTTACCGCCACGGAAAAATCCAACTCCAACGAAAATTTTAAAACAACATTTAACTCCGTTGCAGACGCTATTACAATTAGGTTTCCCGAAACATCGAGCGTGAGTATTATAATACGATTGTAAAAGAGTATCGATATCTCTTTGTTGTTCTGAATAAGTACATGAATAAGTACATGCGATTATAATGCATTCAGTGTAAACAAACAGCTGTCAAACATTAAGTATCATTGTTGTTTTCTTCCTGTTTTTTGTTGATTCATGATTATCTATGCTTATGATAAAAATTTGACAAGTATGTTTTATTGTTATCTTTTTTTTTATTCTAGTAAATCGTTGTATAAAGTACATAATTTCATATGAAAATACTCTTATTATGTAATACAACACCGTGACTGAGTTTATTGAACTAATTATACAATTCGTAATAATTTAAATAATTATTGTTTTGTATTGTTTTTTAGAGAGAAAGCGTTAGCTGCTACGGGACATCGAGGTGTTCAACTTGCATCTGATTGGCTAGTAGCTCATGTTAGAGATCCAACTTTGGATTCTGACATCCATAGACAATATGTTTTGTACGCTTGTCCAACAGGTGAATTAGCAGAGCAACTTATGAGATTCTGGTCAGAGAGTAAAGAACTCGTATGGAATGGAGCACATAATTATATGCCACACATAACTCTTGTATCATTTTTTGAAGTATGACATTATCTTAACTGTACACATGAATAAAAGTCATAAAATAATACGAAGATACTTTTTGCAGGCACCAGATGAATCAACTGAGGAATTGGTAAATGTACTTGAGAGTATAGTTAACCAAGATAAGTTATCACATAATATTGAATTGGAAGCTTATATTTCTCCTAATTTTATGGGTTTGTTTGTTAAAGAAGTAAATGCAGAATGGCTGAAAAACATTGCCATCCATTATGCAAACAAACTTTTAAGTTTAGGCATTTCTGCAGAACCTCAAATAAAATCTTTACATTTGACATTGGCCTATCAGTTTCCTAGTAATTTATATCAACAATTGCGTTTAATGGTAGAGAAACTAACACTCACTTGCCCGACTAATTGGGAACTCAGATTATATTCCAGAGATTCTAGGCTACAAAATGCACATGTACATAAAGTGACACATCCTCACATGCCTAGAGAACATGACGAATTAGAATTAAGAGTCGGAGATTACATTTACATTCCAGAAGGGGCATGTAGTATATCTACAGACGGTTGGATTGAAGGTATCTCTTGGTTAACTGGTATTTCAGGCCATTTACCTTTGAATCATACAAAACGTACAGCTGAATCAGATTCATGGACTTTACATACTACTATACAAATTACTGACAATAAAAATGAAATTCTACAGAAAGAAGAAATACCTTTAACTCGTAAACCACCAATATTGTTATCAAGTGATTCCATAGACAGTCCTGATGGAGTAGCAACAACTACTGAACCAGTAAATAATATTAATAATTTATTCTAATTTCCCATAAAAATTCTAATTTTAATTTTTTTATTTTATCTTTCTATATATAGATTGAAGTTTCTGAAATACCTCCAAGTTCCTCAAGACAAATTTTTATATGCCGCCATGGAGAAAGAGTAGATTTTACATTTGGAGCATGGATCCGTTATTGTTTTGAATCAAATGGATCCTATGTTCGTAGAGACTTGAATATGCCAAAGGAAATACCATCAAGAAATATACAAGACTTCCGAAATGATAGTCCTTTAACAACTGTCGGTGAAGTGCAAGCAAGTTTGGTAGGAGAAGCTATGAAATCGTCTAGTATTAAAATAGACGTGGCTTTTACATCTCCTTCATTGAGATGTATACAGACGTTAGCTCATATTTTAAAAGGATTAGATTTAAACATTCCAATGAAAATAGAACCAGGTCTTATAGAGTGGTTAGCATGGTATCCAAATGGTGTTCCCGTTTGGATGACATCTGAAGAATTAATAACAGCAGGTTTTAACATAGACAAAAATTATGATCCAATTATTAAAGCAAAAGATCTTCCATTGAAAGAAAACGCAGCCCAATATTATGAACGAAGTTATGAATTAATCAAACGAATTATTGAAAATACAGTAGGAAATATTTTAATAGTAGCTCATGCTGCTTCTTTGGCAGCTTGTACCAGACAATTAACAGGTGGAAGAGTGCCACCAGCTTCCGAAGTTACGAGATTAGCACAAAGAGTACCATATTTAGCATGCTTAACAGCACGTGAAGGATTGGATGGTTGGCAACTTCATCCACCTCCTTTTCCTCCTATAACCCATACCAGTAATACCAGATTTGATTGGAAAGTATTATTGTAAAAAATAATTAATTTTTAAATACAGTTTTTCTCCTTTAAAATACTAAAGCTTAATCATAAAAGATTGTACAGAACGAATTTTTGTAACATTTTAGTTCATATAAAGCATATTAAAAAGAGAGAAAGTATTAAAAAGATTATTTTCTGGGTTGGGTTATTTATAATGTACTATAAAATATGCCAGTCGTCTATTGAATGTTTAAAATAGTTAACAATTGTAGGATGATAAATACGGGTATTGACTTTTCTAATTCTACTTTTTTCACAAAAGTAGACCAAGTAGTACATTTTTAAAAAGAATGTATGAATTAATATTTTGAAAAAGATATTCTCTATAGATTTCGTACTGGATTTAGGAATTTAATAAAACAATGTGTAGTGTTTATAACCTCTGCCAGAAAAATAATAGTACATTCACAATTTTTGAAAATGTATTTAGATCATGAAATTTTGAAATTTTTTACGCTATAACTTGCTGTAATTATAATTTGTAAAGTTTATGTGATTATTTTGTTAATCTATTATTTATTCAAATGTTTATATCTGCGTGTATTTTGAATGTATTATTACATATACAGAAGTATATAAAATTAAATATAATCAGATTTAGGATTCGTTACTACTATGTTTGGTAAAGATTTACTTTATTGTTACAAAAAATTCCATGTGTACGAACTCAGTAAATAAAATCTTTCCACACATTGCATAAACCTATAAAATAATAGTTAACATGAATAATGTGTGAAGATGTAGAAGTACAAAATCAATGTAAAAAAATAATGTTATTTACCAAAGAAATATATAAAATGTTATTTCATTACAAACCAATTATATCACATGAAGAGACCTATTAATTTATTCATTGCAGAAAGTTTATTCAAATATATTATATAAAAAGTTTTTCTATATAAACTGAAGTTTAGTAAAAAGTATAATAAATGTAAAACAACATGAAATAATTTTAACAATATTTTTCAATAACAGTATAATCATACATGTCCACTTTCCTTTAATTTTACAATTAATGTATCAACATCTGGTATAATAACTCCAGCTTGTCTGACTTGTGGTTCTTCAATAGACAAAATTTCAATTCTCGCTGAAGTATCTACACCAAGATCTTTTGCTGTTAATTTTTTAATTGGCTTTTTCTTAGCTTTCATAATATTTGGCAATGTAGCATATCGTGGCTCATTAAGTCGTAAATCAGCACTTAAAACTGCTGGCATTTTTATTTTAACTACCTCTAAACCTCCATCAACTTCACGCGTTACTGTTAGTTCACTATCATTTTTTTCAATCTGTTTCAAGATAATAAAATCAAATTACATTAATGAATTTTAATATTATTTTATAGAAAATGCTTTTTAATACTATCGTTTGAGGTTTTAACTCAACTGGTTTACCTTGCTACAAAATGTTCCAGTTGGCCAATCCAAAATACCTCCAATCATTTGTGCAGTTTGATTACTATCATCATCTATTGCTTGTTTTCCAACAATAATCAAATCTGCTTTTTCCTCTTGAGCTAATTTGGCCAAAATTTTAGAAACATGAACAGGTTGCAAAGTTTCATATTCAGGTCCAGATACTTCAACATGAATTCCCTTATCAGCACCCATTGCAAGTGCAGTTCTTATTACATCTTGAGATTGCGAAGGACCACATGAAACTGCAATGACCTCCTCTATTAATTTCTTTTCTTTCATACGTACTGCCTCTTCAATTGCAATTTCATCAAAAGGATTCATCGAATGTTTTACTCCATCTGTTACAACACCTCTTTTATCTGGTTTGACACGAATCTAAAAATAAATAATCAAATAAAAAGAAGTGATCTATAATTGATAATATTTAAAATGATATATTTCTTAAATAATATTACTTAAATTTATGATATTTATCACTGATCAATTAAAGTTATTATAATCTTTATTTATATTTTTTATTATGTTAATGATAGCTACCTTAACTGCATAATCGATAACTCTCTTCACACCTACAAGTGCTCGTGTCATTATTAACTGATAAACAGATCGATAAATTATACAACTAAAAGTTATAATTAATTTCTTTCTATAATATCTATCAATACGTTCACTATTCAACTTCTTACGTATACAGTTCGATTATTTGGTTAATACTTCGTTCAGCTACTCAATAAATGGTCTAAAGTTCATTTCTACTTTGATATGTACGTTGCTTGTGTTGATTTCATGGACATATTTTTATATAGTTTGCGCTGATGTAACCGAAGATCAAACACGGTCATTTCAGATTTTAGATTATAAAATTTTATTTAAAGTTAAATAATCGCATAAAAAATAAAAAAACAAAAATGATGTTTCGAATCTGTAATGTAAAATTTACATGTATGTGTTATTAAATATGGCCTGCTTTTGAGATAACTTCTTCCATGGATCTCATTTGTGATAGATTAAACTGTAAAATTTATAATTTATATATATTTATATTAGTAAAGATATTTTTATATTATATTTATAAATAATTTACAATAGTATTTTTCATTTTATAGTATCACTTCGGTATGTTATAAATTAAGGTCATTTTCAATCTTACGTAAAAATAATATAATTGTCTGTCTTAAATGAAAGAATAAAGAAGTGAATTATATATTTTATTTCAGTTATTATTGTTTTATTGTTCAGAAAAAATACATGTGCAGATGATGATCGTAGTTTCATATGAAATTATTAGTTCGATTATGATATATATTAACATTATAATTTAAGGTATCACTTTAAAAAGAATGCTTAATATATTTCAATTTTTTCGAAGTAATTAATAAAATGACGTAAATAATATAGTAAAATAACGAAATTTTCGGTTAAGGATTTAAGTCCATACATATGAAACAATAAATTACATAAACCTTTAAAACAATTCGCAAACCATTAATTCACAATTGACTTACTATCTTATGTATAATTCTCATTCTAAATATTTGATTTTCTCTGAAGGTATAATTTTTTAAAACAAAAATGAAGTTTAGTAATTTTTTCTTCAGTAGAAAAAGGAGTCAATAAAATTTTCACTATGTATTCGTATCAGCAAATAAAACATGAAAATAGTTGCATGTAATTTTCATATTCTAATTAGAATAAAATTATTTTGGAATTAGAATAAAAGAGATTTTGAGCGATCGCCTTAGAACCAATCAGAATGAATATGAAACCAAGTTTGCGCCACACATGGCGTCCAAGAACCGACGCCATCTAACGTCTGGCATTCCTGTTTTTTTCGTGCGGGTAAAATCACGGCTTTCTATAGCGCGCAAGCCTTTATCATTTTGTTTTGTAGAATTTGGTAAGTTAAGTGGATATCTTTGATAAATCGAGTATGCTACGCATACGCCAAATGAAATGTTAGCTGAGAAAAAGCGTTCACGCGTTGAAGAAAGTGTGTGGGAAAATGAGTTAACCGTGTGTTAACGCGCAGTGATCAACTATCCGTGCAAGTTTAGTAAAGGAATATATACCCATATTCAGGACGTGGTAACGTCGAGGTAATTGCATATTAATCTTTTATATGGAAAATACGCTGTTGATTGTTCAAATATTGATAAAATTTCGATTCATTGAAGGTTTCCTTCGTGTTTATGTTTACTCCTCTAATTACCCCCTCCCTCTTCAGCCACCTTCTGTGCCTCTATTCTTCCTGAGATTCTCCCTCGTTTTCTTCCTACTTCATACAATGTTTTCTTTTTGTAGTCTTGCTTCTTTGCTTTTTTTTTTAATTATCATATGGATTTGCTCTATCTTATGTGTTTGTTATTGCACTGACTTCAATAGCAAATTGTGAAAAATAAATCACTGTTTATATTGTTAAAATATTAGTACTACTTTATTGAATTATGCTTAATATTCTTTTGATATTTTAATAATTAATACCAACATACTACCGAACAATAATTATATATTGATAGTTCTGTAAAAATTATACTCGTATATATACATTTATTTTTTAATATTTTTACATATATATGAAATATGCATATGTACATACAATGATTTCAATTAATTGACTCTGATTTTTTATAAGTATTTAGAGAGACGTATTTAATCAGTGAAAAATGAGTGCATCGGCCTTGAAATCAACGATACCTGGAGTAGGTACCTCTCCAACTTCTACCAGTCATTCTATTCTTCCTATGACTGCAATGGCACAAAAAGTTGTATCAGGATCAGAACCAGGATCTATGAAGCCTTTACCAGGAAGTGGATTAAGCTATGTTACATTACAACCACCCCAACCCAGTCAACCTTTGAGTTTAGTACAAGATCATAGACCTTCTGTATATCAAACACCACCTTATGTGAGCAGCAATTCTGAAAAGGAACCAGACTTGGATAAATTAATTCCTAATGGAGTAGAGATTATGAAAACTGAAACAGAACAAAATGTGTCTTTTTCTACGAAACAGAGCGAATCTAACAGAAATAATAATTTAAGTCCAGATAATCCTACACAAGATTCGCAAAGAGAAGTTCAAACAGAACAAGAGATGACATCTATCAATTTAGATTTCCCTGGTTAGTAAAACTGCAATAAATTTTTTATTAATTTAAATGTTAATTCATATTTTGTTCATTGAATGTATTTCATTGTTGCACAGATATTTTCATATATGTTGAATTCATTAACATTATAATGTATGTAAACAAACACAATATATATCTATATTTTTACTTACATTACTTTAGCATTATGTCCACAATTACAAAACAAAGTTGAGGAAAAGAAGACTTCTGTAAATAATGGTTCAAAAGAATCTGATGGAATTCAGATTAATACAACTTTACAAACAAAATTGTCATCACACAAATCAGAAGATGGATCAGTAAAACCTGACAGTCAGAAGACAAAAACTATAAGTATGAAACTTACATCAGAAAGTTCTGCATTACCACAAACAAATAATCCACCAAAAGTTGAAACAAAGGTCACCACTTCACCAAAAGCAAATAAAAGAAAGTCTAGAGAATTGAAAGATTTAAAAGGAACATCAGCAACTTCAGATGGAGCAAGCAAACCAAAAAGAAATAGAATTCAAACACAGCCTTATCAAAGTCCCTTGCCAGAAATTGCACTGCTTGTAAAAAATTTAAACAAACCTCCACCATCAAAAGCTTCCGATGACAAACTTATAGTATTTTATAAGTAAGTATGAAACATGACATTTTTTAAAAATATGATGTAATGATGAATAATAATAAAAAGTTTAAATTCTATAAATTTTCATTCAAAAATATAATAATTTATATTAGTTTTAAATATAAATATAAACAGAATTAATGGTACTAATAACTTTTATTGATATTCATTATTAGAAATGAATTTTTGGCTGTGAGAAATGCAGAAGGAAGCTTTTATGTTTGTCAAGCAATGCAAAATATATATAAATCTAGCAGGAAAATTCGTATACGTTGGCTTTCTCAAGATAAAAATAATGGAGAAATATATTCACCAGACTTTTATGATTACATAGGTAATCTTACATAAAGCAATTATAAATGATAGTCATTAAATTTTAAATATATTTGTCTTATATTTTCTAATATTTATTGCATTATATAATGTAAACTATATTTGCTGTTTTCTTTTTCAGATTTTGATTGTATATTAACAAATTTAAATTTAAACAAAATTGATAAAAATAAATTCCAGCTAACCAAAATTGAATTATTACGTACAGAAAATATTTTAAAAAGAGCAATTGATGTTGAAGCTGGTGTATCTGAAAAACCTCGAGTAACGGAAGAACATCCAGATGGACGTTAGTATTTTTTTATGCTGCTTTTACGAAAAAAAAAGTCCTAAAATATAACTGGTTTTATTAAAATTTTATTTCTATTCAGTTTTAATATGATTCCATTTTAAACTCAATAAAATTCTACTTTGATATTAATTGTTTACTTATATTTTTGAAATTTTATAAATATATTTCATAAAATTTGAATGTTAATATCTTATCCACAGTTGACCTTTCACTTTATAAAGATGAATCACAATTAAAGAAAAGAAAAGGTCACAACTTGCATAAACAAAAGCAAAGTTTACGTAAGAAATCAAAACGAGCTGAAAGCTTATTTGAAGATGGTTCTACTGAAGAAGAATTAGGAAAAAAATCACCTAAATCAAATCGCTCTAAAAAGCGAACTGTTAACAAAAGTTTGGCAATCGCAAAATCTGTTGCAAAAGGATCTAGTAGAGCAGAAAGAGCATTGAACAGAAATACGAAGTCTGGGAATGAAACTACTGTTGCTACTACCAATAGTAGTACAATTACTACTACTACTACTACAACTACAGTAACTGCATCTACAATATCAGTAGATGCAACTAAAAATAATACTGATGTTAGAAAAAGTGAAAATAAAAAGAGCACAAAACAACAGAATAATAATAATGCAAGTGGAGTTTCAAGGACAAAGCTACGTGGTAAGAAATTTTTGACTTTAATGTCATCTCTATGATTTTAATATATCTGACATACAATTTTTTTCTAAAACTGTCACTTAATTTTTAGCATCTGCACAAAACACTCAACAAAGCAACAAAACAACAGGTCGTCCAAAGCGTATGGCTGCAACCACAGGTATTGCGTCGACTGAAGAAGTTGCTTCTCGAAAAAAGCCACGTGGACGAGCATAAAATTAACATAATTTACTTGTATTTCCTGTATTACATCTGGAACAGAATCTGTATCGTAGGCAATATGTACACGTAGTACACTCTTTAAAAATTGCGATCGATTTATAATGTAATATATATGATCATATTATCTATCAGATGCTGCATTATATTATAGTCCAACAATGTGGGATCAACAATTTATATAACGATGCGGCAAGTCGCGTTTCGTTTAAACGAAAAAAAAGACTCGGAGACTTATAAGAGTGACATTGTGATATCATACAAAATTTGTACATATCGTCTACGTTTCAGATTCCTACAGGAGAAGAAAGTCACGGAATGTATATGGAGAAATGGTACCTTGGTTGAGTAATAACTATCTACAGGGTGTCACATGCTAATGCACTCTTGCAATAGTCTATTTTTGATGTTGTGAGTGAACTGTACGTGATTCAGTTGAGTTCAATGTACACTTTCCATTGGATATGATAGCTATGTACAAATATATATATCTGGGGCTTATAAAAAACGTACTCTATAAAATGAAAACAGATGAAAATAGAGTAC